CAGTTGAGGTTTATGTGCTATTTTGAACAAAGGAGAAGGGGACAGAGGTCTGGCACTTCAAAGGAAAAGCAGGCAATTACAGGTAGACAAAGAGCAAACGTGTGGTAAACAAATTCTTTCTGGGCCACGCAGAAACAATGGGACACAGAGGAGAGAGAGTCTAACAAACAGGCTTTGCTGGATTTCTTACTGCCACACTTAGTTTATGTTACGATACTAAGGTGATGCTCTCTTCCTTTAAGCAGGATTTTCTACGTGAATTCCTTTAGGCAGGTAAGGGGAGAAGGTCAAAGATTCTTTCTGAGTCTTTTGTTTCTTAACAATCAGCTTAAAATCAATATCCCAGAAGGCACATTTTGCGGTGACAAAACTTTATTACTTATATTAAATATATTGCTTACATTTAATATATTACTTTTACAAAAGCAAGATTATATTACACATTATTATTATGCAACTTGCCTTTTATTTTTTCTTCTAAAATGTATTATGGGCACCCTTCCCTGTCAATAAGCACAGGTCTACACTTTCCTCTCTCCCTCCTCCCTTTTCTTCCTTCTTTTTCTTTTTCATTCTTTTCTACTCTTCCAACTTCCCTTCCTCCTCCTTCTCCCTCCCCCAATCCTTCTTCTTCATTTTTTGTTAGTTTTGGGACTGAGGTCTTTTTTAATTTTATTTCTCTAACATACATTATTTTTTTATTTTTTTATTATACATGGGACTGAGGTCTTAAGGGAAAAGCATCACAATGGGAATTATCATTACTGTGCACCTATATGCCAGGCACTGTCTAGTTAATTTGTAGTGATCTGGCAGAAGTTGCTATAGTATCGAAGCCATGACATATGTAAAAAGCCTACTTCTTGGTACATACTAGGCCCTCAGTAATTTTTAAAAATAAGATTAGAAAATCAGTTCTTTATTCTGGGAGAGTATTTTAAGATGAAATATTAATAAACTTTTAAGATCTAAAGCACATGAACAACTGGGGAAAATATGAGAAGAACAAATTTTTGATTAGTTACTGTTGCTGCTGTTGGGAATAAGGAATTTGAACTGAGGATTCTAAGGGAGGCCAGTTTTTTCATTTTTTAAAAAACAATTGGTTCCTCTTGGGAAAGTCAGAAAATAACTTCAATGTTTCCTAATCGAGGTATACTAGTGGAGTCCTCTCACTGGAGAAATGACTGTGAAAAGATAAACTATAGAGCAGAGGTCATGGACTGGCAAGCCAATGAAGCCTGCAGAAATGTTTATTCACACTTTGAAGTACTTTTAAATTATGTTAAATGATTGTCAGCAGGCTAGCCCAGATTTGTCCTCATGGCATGGTAAGGATCCAGGAGAGTAAGGGCTACTTGACACATAGGTTTAGGTCTGACACTCTGTCACTTCTGGTACATTCTATTGAGGGGGGGAACACAAATACCACAAACCAAAATAAAACAAAAAATACCTCACATTCAAGGGCTGGGAAAAATAGGCTATTTTTTGATAGCTATAACTTAAAGTTACATTACAAAGGCTGTAGATACAGGGATGGGTGGAAAATCAGGGCAATTTTTTCAACCATTATACCACAATATTCAAATGAATAGTGTCCTTAAAGTTGTCATTTTTCAAAGCTGTATAACCCTTCTAACAGTGTACCCACTTATTAAAAAATATAATTAAAGCCTTTCTCAGAATCTCCTAAGGAGGGTTTTATAAGCCAATTAAATTCATTCTTTACTGATCCATTTTATTCAACATTCTAAAGGCCCGATAATAAACAATAAAGAGAGAGTAAATAGTTCTCCTTGTGATTTCAAACTCTCTCTCAGCAGATTGTCAAGTAGAATAAGCACATGAGATACTTCGATAAGAGCCATGAAACATATTTTAATGCCTTCAAGAAGTTATGGCAGAACCCCAGATTATAACAACAATCACTTAAAATCCCAGCTGGCAGCTTGCCTGACAGCAAAAGAATGTTTAAATCAGGATTACTTTTCTTCCTAAACATCCATTTATTAATGACAACACAAATCTTTACATGAGCTATTGATCAGAGCCCAGTGGAGTCTAAGGAAATTTATTCTAGATGCTTCCTTGTAGCTTTTACCTGAACAGTAAGAAATAAAAGAAACTCTGGCTACTTCTTCCCTTAATGTTACATGCCAGAGCTTTCCCACCATCCCCTTTAAGCATCAGCTTCATCCCTCAAAGGGTCTCCATGGCTTTTATGAAGTCAGCTGACTCCTAGTACTGTACAAAGGCCTCAAATGTCTGCATGCTGAAGCTAAACCCCCCAAAGCTTCCACCATTCATTACCTCTCTGTAGGGGTTAAACATAGAAATATCCACATTCTTGATCTTCCCAAAATTCTCAATGACCACCTGTAGGATCTTTTCACATGGCTTCCCCCCAGTGGAACCTTTAGGCGCAAACCACTTGCCAGGCAAGCCTTCAAAATGTGTGGAATCCAGGCTCTTATTGTGGTCCAGCTCATCAGCCCTGTCACTTGATGGGGCCTCCTGTTCCTTCGGGAAGTGCTCCCACTGTCCCTGTGCATCTGTAGCCACTACTTTTAAGTCTGGTTTCAATCCATTTAGCTTGATGATCTTCCCATGTAATTTTGCCTTCAGGATCTAAACCAGTGATGGCGAACCTTTTGAGCTCAGCGTGTCAGCATTTTGAAAAACCCTAACTTAACTCTGGTGCCGTGTCACATACAGAAATTTTTTGATATTTGCAACCATAGTAAAACAAAGATTTATATTTTTGATATTTATTTTATATCTTTAAATTCCATTTAACAAAGAAAAATCAACCAAAAAAATGAGTTCGCGGGTCACCTCTGACACGCGTGTCATAGGTTCACCATCACTGTCCTAGACCAAAGTGACTTGTTAGGTTGGAGGCACCAGGCCAATTTCTAGACAGTATCCAGGAAGTAAAGCAGTAGACCTTCCTGTCAGGCACCAATGCAACGTGCTGGTGTGGGAGTCCTCCCAGAGCTGGACTGAGGGTGGAACAAGGACCCTGTGGAGAGGGGAATATCTAGGCTAAGGAGCACAGGCCTGGGTCTCCAGTCAGGGTCATCTCTGGGTGGTATTGTAAGAAGCAGCTATATCAGATAGTTGACAGAAAAACCATTTATTTTTTTCTAGATAATTTTTGATGATTTCTAAATATCAAATCTATGATAAAAGAATTTTGAACCCTGGCCAGTGTGTTCAGTGGTTAGAGCGTCGGCCCAAGCACTGAAGGGTCTTGGGTTTGATTCTCAGTCAAGGGCACCATACCTGGGTTGCATGGCTCAGGTCTGGGAGCATGTGGGAGGGAATCAATCGACATGTCTCTCTCACATCAATGTTTCTCTCTCTCCCTCCTCCCTCCCTCTCTCTCTTCTCCCTCTCCCTCCCTCCCTCCCTTCCACTCTCTAAAAATCAATTGAAAAAAAAATATCCCCCGTATGGTTTAATAACAACAACAAAAGAGAAGAATTTTGAAACTGACCTTCATCAAGGCTATTTTTAAAAAATGTAACCCAGACTTTGAAAGCAATCCAAGAGAAGCATTCTAAAATGTTTAAAACAAAGGCAGTATCACTGGAAAAATGGAGAACATGACAAACCTGATTCCTTTGACGTGATTAACTATTTTGTGTGTACTTTTACTGTAATATTTTTTAAAACATTGATTTTAAATTAGGTCATATAAACAGATACCTATCCACTATAGCCAAATTTGGGGGTTCAGTATATCTTAATTGAATGTCAAATGAATTTTTCTCCTAAAGAAGCTTAGTGTTGATTCTCATGCTGCAAATTGCACCAAACTTACTGGACTTTTTTCTCCAATTGCTATTTAGATAATGTTTTAGGAAAAGAACATGTTTATGCTCATATCATCTCAGTTTGGTGTTGTTACCATAAGGATTTCTACAACCTACTATCATAGATTCTGCTTTTGATGGCCTTTTAAACAACCAGTTTGTGCAAACTTTGTCTCTTAAATAGAGTTGACTCGTATTGTCCTTCAAGGACAGTTATTAAAGAAATTTGTACCTATGATGTCAACCAAGACTTAGTAATAAATTTTATATTAGAATTTCCATCATCTGGCTATATACGTTTGAGTCTAAATGTTCCCAAAGTTGACATTAATGAGAAAATCAGGTGATGTAGATTCTGAATACATCTACTTTTAGAGGGGGGGAAAAAAAGCTTTTTTTTTAAAAAAAAAATTGGGAGGTGCTACTTCAAGTTAGCAAATAGAAGCAGAAATTCCTAATTCTCAGTTTTAGTGATATTCACCTTGAGACAGCTTAAAATAGTTTGTTAAAGTGAAATGCCCACAAGCAGTCTGGTTTTGGGAGTTTTCTAGTCCCAAAGTAGAGGACAAATTCACTTTGTCACTTATTAGAAGAGGTTGTCTCTTCTTCACTTGAACTTAGAGTTCAATTTAGTTAAAGTCAATAGACTGGAAGAATAAGAATTGATATGGGCATATAAGACTTAGAAACCAACCTTAGAATGGTTAGCTAGGTGCATGTTCACGAAGGTGCTACATGTATTTTACTCTTGCCCTCTTTCTGTGACACCTCCAGCAGGTTTTTATGGGACTTATAATATATTGGATATTTGGAATCTTAGAGTCTTAATGTATGGGCAGCTCATTTAATTTTCCTGAATTCATCTAAATTTTCCCATCAGTAAAACAGGCATGGAAATACCTACTCACAGGTTGCTTCATGAATCAAATGAGATAAAGTAGTATAGACAATAGCCATAGCTTATGTTTATTGAATCCAAGCACTATTCTAAGGATTTCACATGTACTCTCCCATTTCATCCTTCCTGAAGTCCTATTATTTTTATTTCACAGTTAAGGAAACTGAGACAGTATATGGAAACTCTTTGCAACCTCTAAAGCATATTAAACAAAAGAAAGCTATTGTCTTAAATATCCCTATAGTATACTTTCCCCTCTCAGTTTGACCTAAGTCCAGCAAATGCTAGCACCATTCAAAGTCCAAATTTGTGTTTTGCTCTATTTGTTTGAAAATGTTCCCTTTCACCATCCAAGGTTGCCTGAGGATACAATGGCGGTGACGGTGGTGTATGATAACTCTGAGGCAACAGAGCTCTGTGCACATCAGCACCTCTACCTCATGCCCATAGCAAAATTGATTATCAATGTATGGCTCCCAGAGAGTACAGAACCTATGAGGCCTTTCTTGAACTGGGAAGTTCTTGACCAGCTGAAGAGGCTGATTTGCCCTGATCAGTTAGTTCACCACAGTTCAACTCCAAGTGTATGAAGAATTTCATCCGATTCCAGGGGGAGGCTTAAACACAAAGTTTGGTTTATCAGTGATGGCGAACCTATGACACGCGTGTCAGAGGTGACCTGCGAACTCATTTTTTTGGTTGATTTTTCTTTGTTAAATGGAATTTAAAGATATAAAATAAATATCAAAAATATAAATCTTTGTTTTACTATGGTTGCAAATATCAAAAAATTTCTGTATGTGACACGGCACCAGAGTTAAGTTAGGGTTTTTCAAAATGCTGACACGCTGAGCTCAAAAGGTTCGCCATCACTGGTTTAGATCCTGAAGGCAAAATTACATGGGAAGATCATCAAGCTAAATGGATTGAAACCAGACTTAAAAGTAGTGGCTACAGATGCACAGGGACAGTGGGAGCACTTCCCGAAGGAACAGGAGGCCCCATCAAGTGACAGGGCTGATGAGCTGGACCACAATAAGAGCCTGGATTCCACACATTTTGAAGGCTTGCCTGGCAAGTGGTTTGCGCCTAAAGGTTCCACTGGGGGGAAGCCATGTGAAAAGATCCTACAGGTGGTCATTGAGAATTTTGGGAAGATCAAGAATGTGGATATTTCTATGTTTAACCCCTACAGAGAGGTAATGAATGGTGGAAGCTTTGGGGGGTTTAGCTTCAGCATGCAGACATTTGAGGCCTTTGTACAGTACTAGGAGTCAGCTGACTTCATAAAAGCCATGGAGACCCTTTGAGGGATGAAGCTGATGCTTAAAGGGGATGGTGGGAAAGCTCTGGCATGTAACATTAAGGGAAGAAGTAGCCAGAGTTTCTTTTATTTCTTACTGTTCAGGTAAAAGCTACAAGGAAGCATCTAGAATAAATTTCCTTAGACTCCACTGGGCTCTGATCAATAGCTCATGTAAAGATTTGTGTTGTCATTAATAAATGGATGTTTAGGAAGAAAAGTAATCCTGATTTAAACATTCTTTTGCTGTCAGGCAAGCTGCCAGCTGGGATTTTAAGTGATTGTTGTTATAATCTGGGGTTCTGCCATAACTTCTTGAAGGCATTAAAATATGTTTCATGGCTCTTATCGAAGTATCTCATGTGCTTATTCTACTTGACAATCTGCTGAGAGAGAGTTTGAAATCACAAGGAGAACTATTTACTCTCTCTTTATTATTGAGATCACAAATTATATTTTCAAGATGCCTGATAGGTAAATTGCTAAAACATAATCCCAACAAACTTGGATTATTTCCTTTCAAACTACACTCAGCCTGTCTAGTCATGCCACCTTTTTTATGTCTGACTACTTAGTCATCTCTTTCTTGAAATCTTAATCCAGCAGAGGAAAGGATTCTGCTAAAGCCTCCTTTTTCTCTAAATTAATCTTTAGCATGAATTTAGACTTTTAGCTTAAGTAGCTTCCTATGTATGAACCTGTGTAGGTGTGTTATGTGTGAAGATACTTCTGTTAAAATGTACATTTTAAAATTATGAGCTACTCAGTCAGACAAAAGATACAGCAAATAGTATAATGACCACCCATATATACCAGTGCCCAGCTGCCCAGCTTGTGCCTATTAGAGCCTGTGCCTGATGATGGCATTGTGATGTTACCTGTGGCAGTTAAGTGAGCTCCTCAAGGCTCTGCCAAAGAAAATCCTGAAGCCCACAAGACTGTTAGGAAGGCTCAGCGGAAGTAGTAGAACAGTATGGGGACTAGGATATAGAGAGAATATTTTTAATTCATTTGGTTTTGAATTGCCCATGGCCAAATTAGTTTTATTTCTGTGGCCTGAGACACAATGGCCAACTTTTATAATGAAACTTTGAAATATTTGGGGTCAGGTTATGTATGATACAACCAAACACTTCCGTAAGGAGTTATTTGGAGGCAATATCAGGAAAGGCTAAGATTACAAGAACTGGAGGAAGAAAGCAAAGAAAAGAAGAGAGATCAGGAAGAGTGTGTAAGGTAAGGAGACCAACTTTAACAACGAGGGTGTTGTACTTTTGATTTATGGATTTATCTCTTTGGATGAATGGCTAGACTTGATAGAAAGATTACATTGAGGTGGGAGGGGACAGGAATTGGCTCAGATTGTAGAACTGCACGCAGTTCTTTCAGCAGTGCTATTACAAAGCCCAAAATGACAAAAACAGTTGAAAACAAGAGACTTTAAAAGACAACATCCTTGTTAGGGAGAACAAGTAGTGAGAAATAATGGACTAGCCTGATTAAGCTAAAATGATTTTTAAAAAAGGACCAGGAACTTTTATAGTGAAAATTCTAGCCTACCAAAATATTTAAAAGATACCAATTTACCTAAAATTTACCAACTTTTACCTAGCCTACCAATCTAAAATTCTTTTTAATTAAACTTCTTTTCAGGTCTAGAAGAGGTTTTCTTCAACAGGATGGTCAATATTCAAACTAACTCATAGGCAAGAAGGTATGGATTGATTTATTGGGACTATATTTCTTGTTGGCCTAAGTTCTTTCTGTGAACCTTTATTCCTTTGAACTTATCATTGTTTCCCAATTTAGGAGCTTGAGACTAGAAAGTACTATTGGATTGTCAAAGGTTTTCCAAGGTACAAATGGGCCAGAACTTCTGGGCTCTGAAAACCAGTTTTACCTCCTGGCCCCTCCCCTTGCATGTTTATTCTTTCAGTTTTTCTTGTAAATTACAGCCATTCAAAAAGGGAGATAAAGAGTATCTTCCCTTGTGTCTCTCACTTTTTTAGCTGTTGAGGTGATAGGACTTACTTGAGGTCATGTCTGTGAAACTTGGCCAGAGGTTGTGGCTAGTCAATGTAACTATTCCCCCCAAATTTCTGAACAGAACATGCAGTTTAGATAATCCTCCAGCTTTTGGGCTAAATTCTCACTCAGATAATTGTCCTTTTTTGTTTCTTTCCCCATGTTTCCACAGGGCCTAACCAAAACAGTTTATATTTTCAGAAAACGGAGGTTAAAAAAAAGCCCATACTCAGTGGCTAGAGCGTCAGCCTGTGGACTCAAGGGTTCCAGGTTCGATTCCGGTCAAGGGCATGTACCTTGGTTGCGGGCACATCCCCAGTAGGGTGTGTGCAGGAGGCAGCTGATCGATGTTTCTCTCTCATCGATGTTTCTAACTCTCTATCCCTCTCCTTTCCTCTCTGTAAAAAAATCAATAAAATTATATTTTTTAAAAGCCCATAATCTTTTAATCCAGTATGTTTTTTTAATTTATTTTTTATTGATTTCAGAGAGGAAGGGAGAGGGAGAGAGAGATAGAAACATCAATGACGAGAGAGAATCATTAATCAACTGCCTCCTGCACGGCCCCTACTGGGGATCAAGCCTGCAACCCGGCATGTGCCCTTGACTGGAATCGAACCTGGGACCTTTCAGTCTGCAGGTAAACGCTCTAACCACTGAGACAAACCAGCTAGGGCACCAGTATGTTATTTTATGATAGTGTACTGTGCTATAATATATATGAAGGACCAGTTCTCACCCTTAAGGTTTCTGAGTGCCTTGACTTAGCTTTATTTGCCTATGTAAAACCAGCTCATGGAAGGTTTTGATCTCAAGAAAAACGAAATCATTACTGTGAAAGCTGGTCCAGTAATCCCTGACTATGGTTTGAGAAAGTGGAGACTAGAGGCCCCTCCTTAAAATTCTGTAATCTTTTTTTGTAAGGTCTCCTGTACTTGCTTCTAATTAATCAACTCAATTATGTGTCTTTCTCTTTTTATGGATGCATTACAGTGTCTTTTGTCTCTGCCAGGCCCTGGGGTTAGCAGTGAGAGAGTCCTACAAACCTAAATGATTTGTTGTCTGTCCATGTTGCCCCCTTCTCTTCCCACCCACAGTGGTGAAGGAGTGGGGAAGAGAGCAGATGCCAAATAAATACCTTCTGAATAGTTGCCCTTTAATCATTGTCCAGAAAAAGAAAGGAGGAGAGGAAAGCCCAGGAAGAGAGGAAGAAGGCCAGGGTCAGGAGGTGACCCCTGAAGGGACAGACACCAGCAAAGGAAGCGGGACAGAGACAAAGCTGAGCTGCCTGGAGAGCCCAACACTTCGGAGGAGTGAGAGGAGAGGAAGTTCCTACTGGCTCAAGGCAGGTGGAGGCCACTTGATTGCTACTGGTGCTCCTGAGGAAAATTGCAGTAAGGCTCTTTCCCATTCATTTGTTGCTCAGTTTTGGTAAGAGACACAACCCTTCCAGTTAAGCTATCAACTATTTAAAATAGATTCTATGGAAGGCACATTGCAGTTTATTTTCAATAAGCTGATCTATAGTAACCCCAAGTATGGGTTTCCAAAAGGTGTACCCAAATTCTCTCAAGGAGTTGTGTCTCACCTTTGCCATCTGTCACACACGTTGTGTTCCTAAACTTCAAGACAGTTTTACCCAGGACAGTATAGCTAGCGTATCTACTTTTCTAGGTTCCTAATGGATTTAACAGAAAATGCCAGGGGGAAGAAATGGATGGTGTGGGTGTTAGTTTTGTAGTCTTCCATTAACTTTACATGTCCATGTATCTGTAACAGTTTGAATGAGAAGGGAGAGTCTTGAACAGATAGCTTTGTATAGCAAGCTCATGTTAATTAGTCTTAAAGTATTTGCTGAGGAATTTCTCATGCCACACAGCAATTGTTTTATTTGGAAAGTTCCAATTTTGGAACTTCTTTTCCCTCCACTCACTGACCTCTTAAAGATAACCAGACTTAATAGATGTCCCAGAGTAAAGGTCAGAAAGGCTCCCAAACTGTTCATTTAAAAATCCATATTCAGTGTTTGTTTTTTAAAAATATATTTTTATTGATTTTAGAGAGAAAGGGAAAGGGAGAGAGAGGTAGGAACATCAATGATAAGAGAGAATCATTGATCAGTTGCCCCACACTGGGAATCGAGCCCGCAACCCATGCATGTGCCCTGACCAGGAATTGAACTGTGATCTCCTGGTTCATAGGTCAATGCTCAACCACTGAGCCATGCTGGCCAGGCCATATTCAGTGTTTTTAAATACTGTACAAAGGGTAAATGGCATTAGTTGAGTTGATTTAATGTATATTTGAAATATCAGCCTTCTCATTAATGCGAATAGTCAGTGAAACCAGGATCAGGAAAATATTGCATTTCCACCTATAATAAGGGTAGCTGGATCTTTTAAAGTTTACCTTAATAACCACTGAAGAATTTCTCTTTAAATGTGAATGATGCCTAATTCTTGGCCCCATTGATACCTTATACTGATTACGCAATTCTAATCCTAGTTAATGGGTAAGCACTGTGCCATGATTTGCACCAGGTGTCAGTAGAAGCACTGTATAAACTCCCCCAGCAGGGTGGGATTGTAACACCACAGATAGAACCGTTGTCATTGGCCACATTTTCTACTTGCTGTGCTGCTTCTGACTGAAGGCGGGCAGAAACACCCTCATCGGCAATCCATAGGAAAAAAACTGGGATGAAAAACAGAAAGACAGGTTACCTTTCAAGTCAGTTGACTCTCTTGTAGACACGTTTCACCCACCAGTTTTGTTTTGTTTTGTTTTTGTTCTAGGATTTTCTGGGAGGGCTATAGGGCATTTCTAATTCCTCTTCATACCCCCAGTTTGTGAACAAATAACAAAAGGGTCATGTGCTTTGAAAGTATGTAAATAGTGGTGTCTTGTAATATAAGGATGGCACAAATCTAGTAAAAGCAGTTCACATTAGACTGAGACATTTAATTTTATACCTCCTGTTTCCTAGAACAACAGTGTTCCTAATTTGGATTGATCCTAGGTGGTATTAGAAACCTATTACAAAAATGGCAGAAATCCAACTTTTCTTTGAACATTTTTATTTGTTTAGTTTTTTATGTCAGACTTTTAACCTTTTTCTTTGAAGGAACCCACACAGTTTAACCCACAAGAAGTAGATGTTGCAGGCCCTGAAGCTACTCATGGTCTGGGGAATTCATTGAAAACTCTAAAGAAAGAAAAGTTAAATACCCAATATCTTCAAAGTCAGGAGAAAGTGCCAAGATACAGGTTGCCAGTTTAGATAATAAATAAAAACAAAAAATGGAGGAAAGAAATAGGGCTCAGTTACATGAATCTTCCCTCCATTGTAGAAAAAATGGAAATGATTCAGCCAGAAAAAAGGGAACTGGACAATTATTTACCAATGAATGCAATGACATTTTTGACTTTGACCAGAATTCCTTGCAGATTACATTAATTCAAGGTCAGCCTCCTGAGAAGGAAGACCACCTCAGTTCTAATAACTATCCTTTCAGATTATCTGAGCAAGACCTATGCAAGAAAAACCGCGAAACATGTGACCTCATTGACTTTCTATTAAACCATTATTATCACACTCCAAAATATCCTTCTATCTGTCTAGAACCAAGTCACCCAACAAGCACATGTCAGTGGCAGAGATCTGTCCATGCTACAGGAAATGGATTTCAGATCAATTTGAGAAATTACCAATGTGACTCAACCAGCTTGAGTCAAATGCAAAACCTGCATACTCAGGGTCCTGTGCAAAAGCCACAAAATAGAGCAAAAGTTTATTATGCCGAAGGATGGTCTGAGGAGTTTAAAAATCAGCCCAGGGACTCAGCCAGTGAATCTGATGATCAGTTGACCCCAACTGATGGAGAGGGCCATCTGTTGGAAAAGACCGATGCTTACCAGGTCAAAGATTCCAAATCCGGAAGTCAAAGCCAATTTTCCTCACCCAAAAGGTCAGCAGAGTTGGAGTTGGCAGATTTCCTCGAGGAAATTAGTAGTGATTCTGAATGCTTCAATGAAATCCTCATCATAAACACAGAGGAGGAAGAGAAATCTGTGGCCATATATGAAAATCCACCTGAAAGAGGATCTCTCGATGCTGAAGTCATCACTAACAATCAAGAAATTAGATCAAGTCAGCCGACCTTGTATACAGAGTGTAAAAATTTTGAGGAGGAGAAACACTCTAAATACCATTTTAGGAAACCGGTCAAGAGGTTCAAGTATGAACGAAGAAGTTCATTGCTTGAGGGTGAAAACAATTCCATGAGAGTTGAGAACAGCAACAGCAAAATGAAGAAAAGGCTAGGCCCCAAATACATGTTTGGTCAGGGCAACTACCGCAAGTCCAGTTCCGGTTACCTACTAGGCAATATCGCAAGAAAGAGGAGGTGGTTCCGTTATAATACATTTTACCAGAGAGTGAACTACAGGCTCTTTCGTGCTCCAACATCATCATCAAAATTTACTAATGCTTTCTATTCAAGGCGTTTTCCCCAAAGAAGACAGACTATGTGGAAGACAAGAAATAACCAGAATGTAAGAAGATTCACAAGACATGAGAATTCTACACATTTCAGGCCAACTTCTGATAATTATAATATTAGATGTAACAATCAGGAGCACACTGGCTATAGAAGCTGTTTAGAAAACAACTAAAGCAATTCTTTATACTTCTAAATGCTTTAAAGGTCTCTTAGATCAGGAACACCCTTATTCACAATAAACAATTTGCAAAAAGAACATTTAAAACCAAGTATAGCTGTGTAGTTAGCAACAACAAGAGCAAGAGCAACATTTAAAAGCTTGAGCAAGGTCAATTGAAAAAACTTGTTTCTCTTGCCAAACTATGGGTCAAAATCACTGCAGGTGTGTTGGCAAGCTTTGGAAATACAAAACATCCAGTTTCTGAAAGTTGGTAAAACAATGTACTTGCAAAACTTCCTGATCTAAGAGCAGACATTTCTACAGTTCAACTATAACTTTAATTTGGTGCCATTGAAAGAGCAAATTAACGATGAGAAGTATTAAGATAGCCTCTTTGACCCTTTAGCTATCGTAAGGTCATCATTTAGTATCATTTATCTTCAAAGAGGACAACAGCGGATAAGGATCTTTTCACGTGTTCTTTGATTTCGTCAGAACACCATGTACAACAAACTTTCTTACCTTTCATCTAGAAACAACTATGTATAAAAGAAATGAGACAACAGCTAGAACATAGACTTCTTCATATCATTAGAGGTTTTCATGAGCACCCATCAGAAGGAAATTAATCTTCTTAATATGTTCATAGTACTCAGAGTTTTCCTTTTAGAAAGAAAGTATTGGAAGAAGCATCTAAAAGGGGCTCAGATTGTCCTTTGAGTCTTAAAGGGACAGTGGACTATTAGCAGAGTTGTTTTTGAAGAACCCTATGACATTCCAGCCTAGAAAAGCAACAGGATTGAAGTGATACAACCAGTGGGACTTGCAAAAGGGAATATTGAAAGATCCTCAGGCAGCAATAATGGCACTTGAGAAGAAAAGACATGACAGTATTCCATTTCAGGTTACATAATCTTTTCAGGGTTGGATGACATCAGTTTGTAAAAAGCCACTGGATAGCCCCAAAATGACTTTCTAAAACAGTAACAAGTGCCTCCTTAATCCTCAACAATGCCATGGAGTTAGGAAGAGTCAAGGGCAATGCCCATAGTTTTCTAGCTGGGGAAAGTCATATGTGTGCCAGATTTTTAAACTCTTAAGCAATTTATCTTTTTACCTACTGTTTTTGGAGTTCTTTCTTTTTTTATTGCTTAAAATATTACAAAGGGTTGGAGTTCTTGAATATGTTTTTTTACATTGAGATATTTTACAGATTCTTAAAGACTTACTGCAGTGCATGTAATGTTGAAAGCTTGACTGATTCATTCTGCCTTATGTTGGATTTAGAACCTCAGGGCCAGTAGATGACCTTTTATCTCCAACAAAGCTATATCCAACTTAGCAACTGAAGACATTGATAGGATCAGATTACCAGCAGCAAAAATGGTGACTTTAACCTACAGAAGTATTAGAAGGCAACATTTTCATACCACATGATTCATTTGCAATAGTCCTAACTTGATAGAACAGTACCAGCTGGTAAAGCCCAGGTAGAATGCCAATCAATGTGGTTGCCCAGAGTGAGAGGCACAGCGTGTATTCATAACCAGCCTCTTGAGCAACCTGATATCTGAAGGGGCTAGAAAATCTTCTCATTTATCTAAAGTGAGAGCCACGTGTTGTTTCATTAATATCTTCTAATCACATTCAATAGAAGTATGCTAGTACATGCAAAAGTTCAGAAGTGAAGTAGCAAAGCAGGTTATGTTTACTATCATTACTTTCTATTAACATTGTTACTCTTTGTTGTGCTGTTATTTAACTGGGGCAAAAGTGTTTTCTCATATCTGTTTTCTATGTCCTATGAAGTAACCAACAAATGAGTTGTTGACTCTGTTTTCTTCAATTCCACTTTCAAGCCAGTTATTCTACCATCAAAACTAGGTTTGGCTTGTCAAATCTGAAAAATCGCTCATGGGGCAAATGCCTTTTCTCTTCTGAAGACTGGCATTGACTATTAATGTTCAAAGTACTGTTGTCCAAGCAGCCTTTTAAAACTATTAATGGCTTGTACTTTGTCAGACAACTTTCTGCAACCAGGTATTATTCTCTTTCAATGAGACCCTGCCTGTTTATTTTCTCATGTTTCATGCCATTGAAACAAGGTTATGGGTTTATAATGGAAAACAGATATGTTCTGAATAAAAAAAACACCTCAATTTCTTATTTGATCATTTTTCTTTGTAGAGCTTTTAGTCATGGAAACAATCTGCTGCTCATAAAGACATAAAATAATAAAAATAGTTTAAAACAGTATGTGAATTTTTTTGTATAATAGAGCTGGTGCTAAGTTAGATCTGTGTAATAATTTCTGTCTTGTTTTGTTTTGTTTGCTAACTAAATACCATCCTGGGGCCTAGAAGAAAATAAAATGCTGGTTTTATGTTTACTTTTGGAACAACCTTGGGTTTTTATGTCTTGTTGTAACACATTCTAGATTTAACTAAACCTCTTTTTGTTGTGTAGGACTTAAATATGGAAGAGAATAATTGTACTTTTCAACTGAATGACTTAGTAGGGAATGGAACAGAACTGAAAATACTATCATTACTTTCTATTAGTTAACATTGTTATTCTTTGTTGTGCTGTTATTTAACTGGGCAAAAGTGTTTTCTCATATCTGTTTTCTATGTCCTATGAAGTAAGGGCCTGAACTTTAAAATTGTTCTCATATTTTTCATTGTATGTGCTGCTGATAGTGTTTTAAGAAAGCTCAAAATTTGTCAAGGTATTTTTGTCAATTTGTTTGAATTGCTCAGGTAGAAAGCCATGCAAACTGGTAATTTGAAAATAAGAACCAAATAAATGTATTTGTATTTATTACAGTTTAAATGTTAACTTTTAAATAAATGCTGATAATTCCATGCTAGTTTCTACCTATAGAATGCTGCCTTGCATTAATATTGCTAACCATTTGTACTGTTAAAGAAATAATACACATTCAATTTTCAGATAGATTAAAGATAAAATTGTTATAGTGAAAAGAGTCTTGGTTCATTTACCATATTATTGGCTGCAGTGTTGGACATCTACAATAACATTTTCTTTTCAAATGTTTTTATTGATTTTAGAGAGAGAGGAAGGGAGAGGGAGAGAAACATTAATTGGCTGCCTCCTGCATATCCCCTACTGGGGATCAAGTATGAAACTGAGGAATGTGCTCTGATCAGGAATTGAACAAGTGACCTCTCAGTGCATGGGACAATACCCAACCAACTGAACCACACTGGCCAGGGCACTACAATAACATTTTCTATGAAAATATACATCTCTACTTTCAATATTGTTTCTATGTCCCTTGTCCCTTTATGATGCTAGTTAATGGAAATTAACTTTCAGAGATCATGAAACCACAGTTTTATTTTCATTTTGGATAAATTGAAATTAAGATATTGGAACTTATGATTCTTCTCCCCTCAACCAAAGTTTTACCAGTGCTATGGAAAGGTAGCAAAAGGACTTCATGGAATCTCATCTCATCCCTTCAGCCGTTGGTGGAAGTAATAAAGTTATGCAATGTCAAAAAATAACTGTGGGTGTGGGCTGGGTGTCTAGTCTGGTGGGAAGTCTAGACAGTTATGCAGTGTCCCAAAACAGGTGTGGGTGTGAACTGGGTCCTTAGTAATCAGTCCTTGACCATTCATGAGTTAACTGTTCTTTCACATGAAATGTACAGCAAACTGCCTATAAGTATCCTATATAATAAAAGCCTAATATGCAGTTTGTCCCCTTGGGCAGCTGGGAGATCGACCAGGAGTTTGACCGCTCACTATGACTTGCGCTGATCACCAGGAGGCGTCAACAAAGCAGTGCTGGCAGTGGGCGGCAGTGGAGGCACTGCTGGCCCCGATGGACCCCTATGAGTGGGACCACGGTGGGATGGTGGAGCAGGTGAGCGGGTAGTGCCAGGCCAAGGTGGGTGCAAGTGGGGCCTGATAGCCCCACCAATCGCCCTGCAGATGGAGACGAGTGGCAGTGGCGGGGGGCGGGGCCGCCACCCGGCTCCCAGGCGCTGAGGGACCTGGGCACTGAGGGACCTGGGCTGCGGGGAGGAGGCCTGGCCCCGATTGATCTCCCCGCAGGCAGGATGGTGGAGCAGGTGAGAGGCCGGCACAAGGCCAAGGCGAGGTGCCAGTCGGGGCTGCAGGGCTGCAAGGCTGGGGGCAAGAGCTGGAGCCCAATCCCCACAGGCCACCCTGAGGGACCCTACCCGTGCATGAATTCGTGCCCCAGGCCTCTAGTTATTTATATAAGGAAGGCAGAGTGTCCAACCTGGGCACTTGAGAGCTGAAAGGGTCCTTTTTGGGTTCAAAGAGCTCTTTGTGAAATAGCAAGGACTGTATGGATGCTTTTTCTGGATCTTGGGTTTGCCCTCTGAGGTAAGGTAAATGTGACAGTATGTAGAGAAGTCACAAATTTGTGTAGATACTGAAAACACTTAGAATATGCTGCTTCAGACCCAGAGATGCTGATTGTGAGAACAGTGTTTCTGCAGGAGTTGGATAAAAGTAGGTGGAGAGCAAACATGTTCACCTGACACTTTCCCCAATGGCCCATAGTGGTTCCCTCATCTTCTTGAATTGCCTTTCACATAAAATGGCTTATGAATATGTGAACTGGATGTGTAATGTCTTTAGATTCAAGTCCTAACTTACAATAATATCCTTTTACATGTAGTCAGTACAATGTTGATTTAGTTCTGAATGGAGGGAAATCAGGCTATTTGGGATTGAAGCTTTAACCTGGCATTAGACAAACCCATTTAACTTTGTAAAATGAGTAGCCTAATCTTAACATCTAAATGAGATTTCAGGCTGCAAAGGTGGCCCAAGTTCGTCTCCCACTCCCTCCCCCAAAGCATATGGTGGTAAAACAGGTTGCTTGTCACAAAACGGGCAATTTATTTGTTGAATGAAATCTAGTTGAGGAAAAGGGCACATTTAAATAAAAAAACAGGTTAATAATATGGTTTAATAACAAAAACATGCTGTGAGCCCTCTTTCATTCAGGGACTACATCTCTTATAAGAAAACTTCCAACATTAAACATTAAAAGGCCAAAACACTAATATTCAGAGTAATCATTTGTATATGTTTATACAACTGATATATGCAAATCTGATATCCCCCTTTTGACATGAAGTGAATGAAGTTTGCTACTCTAAGGATTCTTGACTACTTAACTGATCAGATGGTACATGAAAACAAAACTTTGCCTGGTTGGATAGCTCAGTGGGTTAGAGCATCATCCCGATACCCCAAGGTTGCCAGTTTGATCCCTAGTCTGGTCACATACAAGAAGCAACTGATGAATTCATAAATAAGTAGAACAAAAAAATCAACTTAACAAAACCTTAAAACTCTACCTTGGCATTTGGTAGCAATCCCTTCAATAAAATTATCCCTTTATATCCTTGCTATATAAAGACCTAAAGCAGAGGTCTGCCTTTGAGTTTAGAAAGTTCTTAAAGAGGCAGAATTTGACAAGTCACAAAAAATCAATTCAATCCACTATTTCTTAACAGCTGGTATTTGGTATGTGGTGGGAGGCTTCTATGAAGTTTTGTCCCTTTATTTGTTTCTCCTGAAATACAAAAAAAAAAAAAAAAAATCACTCAAAAGGGAAAATCTTAGTATTTAAGGTAAAGTGATTAATCTGGTTCCTTACATTTGTTTTTGTTTTTTTAAATAAAACAACCCACCACACTTTATTGGGTAAAACCATTTTATTAACTGACCAAAGCACTTCATTTTGTTTTCTGATTTGAGGTAAAACCATTAAACATGGTTCACAAGAAAATACAAGGAAAATACTATTCAACTACAATTACAAGAGTTTGAAACTTCACTAGTTGTTCACATAACACAAATTCATACAACTGTACAGTCTACTTAGCTAAGTTTATCGTTAACCATAAGACCAATATCAAAGACCTAGACACTTGACTACTACTCTTGCAGTGGCTCTAGTTTTGTGACAAAAGAGTTAACTGTTACCACTTTATGAATATACTTTACTTCAAAAACCACTTGGCTAGTGATGTGCACTGTTTTCTCATTATTCAGGGGGGTGTGAAGGCTCTTAGTAGAGCAATCACCTGATCTACATGCCCCTCATGTCAAATCATGTAAAATAACCATTGCTCCACCATGAACATGGAGACTGAAAAGATAGCCCTATAATGTTCTTCATGTATTTAGATTTTTAGGCAAGCCAGCTGATTTTCCCCAAAGCTTCCTTTTGAATGTTCAGATCATGTTTTAATCCTCACTATAGAGAACAGTTAGTGAAGGTGTCCAAGTGTCTGAACAATGATGCTGTCTAGAAACAGTGTATTTCTTCCAACTAAGCCCAGCTTTGAGATTTCATTTTCTTACTGGACAGCTCTCTTTAATAAATATCAAAGCCTTTGGGACACTGCAGATTTGCTTTAGAGATGGAATTCATGCAGTTAAATCCATTGAGAAGTAAGGAATTTGCTGTCTTTAGAGAACATCATGACTAAAAGTTGATCCTTTGTTCTCAGTGCTTGAAGGACTTTGCACATTTTGCATTTCTACGTATTTGGGGGAAATACCCAAGTCTTACCTATCTTTTAGGAAAAACAAATTTAAATTCAGCCTGTACTAACTACAGATAGAAGAAAAACTACTAACATTTGTATTACAGCACTGCAGTTCACTTTCTGCATTTATGACACACAAACATCATGCACTCAAAGAAGTTAATTTTTTCAGTGTCACTAGTGATGTTAATTAAAAAAATTTACAGCAAGTTCAAAACTTTTCTAAATATTGAAATCACCACATTTTAAAGACAGACTGGAATGTTACAAATGATTCTGCAAAATACAAAAATAGATATGCATCCATGAATGCTTTAATCGTTTTTCCGAGCATTCTCATCTTTTGGTTCTTCATCATCCGAGTACACAGTGGGCTCCTCTCCCTCCTTCAGCAGTTTGCCCACGTGATGATACTTGACTGGATAGAAAAAACCACAAATGGTCAAGTCACTACCATATTTCGTGTTAAAGTATTGATTAGAGGCCTACAATCTACTTAGCAATGTGTTGGGCTTCTTAGAGTTTTGTTCAGAAGACAAATATAAAACAGCAACGTCTGACAGAGTGTGCAATGAGTATACAAATGAGTGTACAAATGTTTAGAAGGCTCATTATGAGGTAGTTAGAATATGCTTTCGAAAATGTGCAGAAGGATTTGGGTAGGAAAACACCACATACAAAAGCATGCAGGTGAGACTGAACATACCTGGGAAGCAATAAAGAGACCAAGTTGGCAGGAGTAGAGTAGGAACAAGGTTGTCTAAGCAGTGTGGGGAAATACTATAAAGGATGTGGAAAGCCAGCCTGAGGAGTTTGGACTTCTATATGTGGCAAAGGGCACTGAAGGTTTATGACAAAGGTAGGACCAGGTAAAATAGTGCTTTGGCAACAGTGGTATCGCTGTGGTGTTGAGGGGAGATGACAGTAAAGGAGAGACCAGAAAAAGGGTGACCAAGAGGCCAGCAAGGGTGCAGAGGACCAAGAGTCAGGAGTAGGGGGGTGTTGGTGTGGGAAGGGAAAGGGAAGAACATATGGTAATTTAAAGGATAACTGCAAACATGAGTTAATGAAGTGAAAATTGGAGATTCCATGGACCGAAATGGGGACTCTGGAGAGGAACAGGATGGATTTATTACAAGGACTGGATAAATTAGTATTGGTAAGCAGGTCCTTGGAAAACCCTGATAAAGTTCAACCCAATTGTGAGGATAGAAAGCATATTGTAGGGAGTAAGGAGGTACAGAGAGGAAATGAAGCAATGCTTAGGAACAACCACTGGTTGTTTGACAGTGGAGGGAATGAATGATAATATCTAGTGGATGAAGATGATAGCAGGAGATGAAAATTTTCCCCAACACGAGGAAAAAGCTATACGATGTTAAAGCAAGTGGTAAAGGAGGCATAGCACTGGAGATGTTGGAGAAAACAGATTTAAGAGGATATACTGGAATGCAAAAGACTTGGGAAGAGATGGAGTCAGCAAACCACCACCATAATGGCTGTTTTCTTGTGGCCAAGCTAACACAGGGTTAAACCATCTCCATGTCAGAGGCCAAGAGGACAGAGCCTACTCTTTCCGAATATGGGTAGGAATTAAAGGAGTACCAACCTGTCTAACAAGGTAATCCGAGCTGCTTTTGTGTGAAATAATCACCAGGATCAACTGGAACTTCCCTATCTGAACATATTATAAAGGTCCCTAGGGTGCTTGGGACTGTGCAAGACAAATAAAAGCTGCGGGTGCTTGAGAAACATGCCTTAAGGGGAATCCACAGCAACCCTGAAGCTGAAGTTTCACAACAGCAATTGGGACTAAGCATAGTTCAAGGGGGATGGGAACCACACTTTTTACCCCACTGATGAAGGCAAGCCCTAGAAAATAGAGCTTTGTAAGTTATAAATTACAGCTCATTGGTTTCATATAGAAGAATCTATTGTTTCAAAGGCATCTTGAGGATGCAAAAATGAGGGACTATGTTAGCTAAATTATGTTTTCCATGTAAAAAGACTTGCCTCTAGCCTTGAAAGCTACGCTTAATCTGATTGAGATCCAAACTCTAAAGGTAGAGCCTTATCTGACTAATTATTAACTAAGAACTCTCTCTGAAGTCAGCATTAGTTTCAAAGAAAATGGTTGGATTTAGGGGAAAAAAAGCAATATAATCAGTAATATTTAACTGATTATAGGGAACAGCAATTAGAAAAATCACATTTTAAATGAAAAAATTCCTTAAAGAAATGATCATGGTCTTTATATACTGTTTCAAAGCTGGGAAAGATTATTATCAAATTATTAGCAATGAAATATTGCTAAAGGTATCTTTAAACATTTAGGTTTGACAAAAATCAATTTCTCAGTGCTCAAAATTTGAACTTAACCTCCAAACTTACTTCTCCTCCAAAGACCTCAGCCCATAGCAAAAGCCAGGAAACAAGTGTCTCCGTTTTTTTTTTTCTTTTTAAAAATGCAGACACCGTTGTTGCTGGCAATATTATAAGCATCATTTATTTGTAGATGAAGCCTATATTTAGGCTCAGTTAGATTCAAAGAGAAGCTGTTTTATAGAATACAAGTCTCCTATTCTTTAGCAGAAATGTGGGTTGCTTTTAAACAGTAAGCTCTACAAGAGAGGGCTTATGAAAACCCCTCTTTCTGTAGCCATGATGGCCGCTCGCCTTTCCCCTCATATCAGTCACCAAATCATAGTGTGGAATCTGTGCAAACCTTTCAAAAACTAAAAAAACCAGAAACCCGAGATTCCATAGAGAACAAGCTAAAAATTGGTATGCAGTCATGGCAAGTGACTCAGCACTACTGCAATTACTTCAAGCCATGAACTTGATCCGTCCAAGATTCAGGAGCCTATCAAAATGCTCCCCAAGTTTCAGGTTATTTAGTAATAACTATTGGACTGCTGTGAATCCCATTACTGGTCGAAATTTGATCCAGCCACAACTTAAAAAAAAAATGCTTACAAGTGAACTGAGAGTCCCAGTCACTCAGGGTCTCCTGCTGGGCAGGAGTGAGGTCAGAAAGGTCATCATACTCATCCTTCAGAGCTTCCTTATCCAGGCAAAATGTGGCGAGGCCCCTGGATGCATCTCTTCCGGCAAAGACCCCATATGGCCCCTCTTTAAAAACAAAACAAAACCAAAGACAGAATCTTTATTAGACAGTCAATTTCTCTGTGGTTTATACACAGAAAATGGCTTCCTTACCCATCAACATCAAAAGCCCCTTTTTGGAATATCCAATTTCATTTGGAAACCATAAGTGATGTTGATACTTTGATCATTATGTAGTGGATACTACAAGGCCTGTTGTTATTAAACTTATTTAGATAACTAAAACAATCAAAATATTATACATTACCATCCATTTCCTGTGATTTTTCAAATAGCTAATAAAAAAGCCATAAATGATGATCTCCCGGGGGGCTGGTAGGGACTAATACAAGATAATACTAAGTACACGGGTCACAGTTCAGCTTTAGGAGATTGAAAACAGAGCCTGGCTCTGTTCTAGGCACCGGGGCTACACCAGTGAAAGTTATGGTTTCTTAAGATAATAAACACCAAGGTTTTAGTAAATCAGAATATTTCCTTATAAATGTCGACAGAGATCTTTGGTTGCAAGAATGTATTAAACATTAACATGTGGCATCTGCAGGATAAATTCTTTTATGAGATTATTAGTGGTTCAGAAATCTATCCACAAGTTACATAATCTTCACTGTCAATAAAGATGAGGTAGAACAGAGATAATCTCTGTCACTCTGTTTTTGGTGGGCTTGAAGGAAGATTAAAAATCCTAAAATTTTCATGGAAAATAGAGGAATCAATACCTCAAAATAATTCCACCTAAGAGAGTAGTGAATCATTGTGTAGGTACTTAAAGTGGATATTTACACTTGCTTAAATATTGTACAAATAAATGCAAAGAATCCAATGTGTTTCCACAAAGGTTGATTGAGCAGCAAACCTGACATTAAAGTTTGTAAAAGTATGGGTCAAGTTTCAATATGGCCTGGCCAGTTGAAACCTCAATCCACCAGGATTTTTTCTTTTTTACAAATTAGATGAAATTTATGCTCAACTTTGAAATGCAAGTAAGATTCTAAAAAAAATGGTTATTTTAAATCGTGATTATTAGTATATGCTACTATTTCCACCAGAGAAGGTTAAAAAAAAAACCTTCATAGTTTTCTAATAGGAATAGTAGCACCTAGTGCTTAAAAATAGGCCAATTGTATTGGTTTGGACCGCACCATTTCAGAAATTCACAGAAAACCACAGTCTGAGAGGAACATTAAAGGACTTTGAAGAATGTGTATTAACTAGAATGTAAGCTCCATGAGCAGAGATTTGTGGGAGGCTGTGTGTGTGTGTGTGTGTGTGTGTGTGCGCGCGCACGTGTGTGTTCACTGCCATAGTCCCCGCACCTACAAAAGTGCCATGCATAGGTGAGGCACTAGAATGAAATGAATAATTCCTAGGAATCCTTTGTAATATGAAGTATCCTTTCCACACATTGTCACATATTCATGGGCTTACAGGATGAGAGTGCAGGGTAGAGACTTAGAGATCTCACAGGGGCCATCATTTTAAAGAGGGACAACTAAGGCCCAGAGAGAACAATGCTTGACACTGGGTCACACAGCTGGTCAATAATCCAACCAGGGCTCGAACCCAGGTTGCTTGACTCCCAATTTTGTGCTTTTTGCACAGGCCTACATTCCGCTCAATGACTTTGCAAACTAAAATCATATGATGATGCCCCACATGCTTGTGTTTTGACTGCTTTATGGTGCAGCTCAGTAATAACAGTTTAAACATAATTTACATGATTATGTTTATTGATAATGCCTCTAGGTGTGCCACCATAAGTGACAAATAATATAGGTGTGGTCTTCAAATTATTTTGATAGTTACATGTCTGCAGAAAGTATATCTTAATGATCCACAAGGAAAAACTGCTAAATGGGAGAGTTCCTTAATTTTAACACATCTGATTTTGATTAGTTGGACTGGGAGAGTAAAACAAAGTGGGAGTGGAGAGGGCCAGATTGCTGCCTTCTATACTCTTCTCTCTCCATGGCAGCAGGAAAGAGAGTGTGGGCAGTGTGTATATACTCCCAGAGCTCCTTGGTTTTAGAGGAGTCCATATTGGAGAAGCTAAAATCTCTTCTTCCTCCACTGCAAATATGTATTCTATAAAACCAGGCTGCATCTCGAATTGGCCTGGAGAAGTAGCATGTTAAATGTAGATTCCTGGGGATCTTTCATTGTTATGGTGATTAGGCCAGAAATCCATATTTTTCCTCAAGCTCATCAGGTGATTCTGATTCAACTGGGCTTGAAAGGCCTCATCTCTAAGGCCCCTTCAAGCCTGCCCCTTCCAACAGCTCTGCAGTCTTCCACCCTCATTTCTCTTCTGGTTGGCTTTTCCTGAATCCCCACACCCAGTAGCCTTCATAGCCCTACCCCCTTTGTTTCTCAGGATCCTCCCACTTCTCCCTCCCTCCATTTTTAATTTTTTTGGCTTCTAGTCCTTTCTCTCCTGCTATAGACTACTGTATTACCTTCTCATCTTACTACATTCCCATTGTCCGCCACATTTGGCCTTTATTCCTCCCTCACCCAGCTCCCTTCTCCCTAACGAACTTCCCTTGTTTATCTTCCAGCTTTTCCCTGTCCGCTAAACACGGAGTGCACACACATACCAAACACATGCACAAACATACTTGACACATGCCATATTCCAAGCGTCCGCACGCGCACACACACACACCCACACGCTCCCAACAAGCCACATACACTGAGTATGCACACACAGCGCACACTCACATCACACCCCCACGCACCATGCTTCTACCTGCTGCTAATCCCATCTCCCTTTCCTTCTCCCACACCCTCGCATTCCACCATGGCTACTCCTGGCATCAACGGCCTTTACGTCCTCTTCAAGGCTGGGCGTCCCTCCTCCCACTGCCCACCCCCTAGGCCACCCTTAAGACAACACCATCCCCTTCTTCCAGGAATCCCCAAATCCGATACCTTCAAAACTCCCCAAACACTGCTTTCTGCTGTATCCCACACACACCCTTTCCAGCCGCCCCTCCCCCCGTCCATTTTACACCCCCCCCCCCCCGGGCAGCTTAAGCGCGTCAGACTCTCCACACACCTCCACCCGGGCATTGGTAGGGGCGGGGAATCTGGCCCCCAGAGGCCTGCAGCCCTAGAACGCCTCTCGACCCCCGCCTCCGCCCCGGGGGAAGCCGCTCAGCCCCCACCGCCCGCCTCTCCTCCTGCCCGCCCTCACTAACTCCGTCGCCATTCCTCCCCGGGGGCGCTTCACTTTCCCCTCGCCCCTCCGGGCTCATCCCCGTGCCGGGCCCCCTTCTTTTGTTTCTACGTCCCGGGGGCCAACCGCCTTACCAGGCCCATAGAACTTGCGGCCTTTGGTCACGTCGAACACCTTGCCGTTGATGGCCATGAGTATGCGCGGGTCCTGGACGCCGTCGAAGCATCGCAGCTCGGCAGGGGTGAAGTCGCGCCGCTTAAGGCGGGGCAGCGGGGGCGGCTCGTCGTCGTCGCTGTCGCCGCTGGCCGCCGGCTGGTCCCCGCGCACGATCTTGTACAGCAGGAAGATGCAGAGGCCGAGCAGCAGCAGGTTGAGAGGCGACGTGAAAATCTCGTTCAGCAGCCCGCTCTCCAGCTCGCTCGGTTCGGCGCCCGTCGCCACCACTTCCTCGGCAGCCATGATCGCTGGAGCAAAGGTTGGGCCGGACTTGGGAAAGCTCCGGAACTTGAGGCTTTCTCCACCCTCTCTGAGAGCTAGTGCGCGCGGGGCTCGGCGAACAAGGACTAGGCAGGGGAGGAGGCGGGGCCAGGAGGGGAGTGGGCGGGGCAGAAGTGGGCGGAGCGTCCCAGCCTGGTCTGTCTCGAAGCTGCTGACGCGCGGCGCTGGGCTGAGTCTGGCTCCGCCTAGCTCAGGCCCCCCATCTTCCTGTGGAGCGTGGATCCCCTCCCCCAGTGGGATCCAGCCTCCTCCACTGCTGAGATAACTGAGCCCACCCCTCAGCTCCACCTGCGAGGCTCCGGACCACTCCCGATGCCATCCTCTCGCTCACCACGATGCAGGGCGCAGCCCTCCCGAGCACCCTGCTAGCTCCTGACACACCGACCCCCTCGGAGAGTCTTGGCTCTATTGGGCTCTGTCTGAGGACGACCCCTCCCCCCTCCCGCCTCCCCCCCCCCCCCCCCCCCCCGCCACCTGATGCGCGCCAAACACCGACTCCATTTCCTAGCTTCGGGCTTCTCTCCTGCCTTCTATTTCAAAGCCTCATGTTTTCCCAGCCATCCCCCAGAACAGTAGACTTTCTCATAGGAGACAGAAACCTCACTCCTTGAGCTCCCTTTTCCACTTTCAAGACCCAGCCCCATTTTCACTTTGGGAACCCCCGTTTGCTCTCTTTGACGGCCTTTTTCCAATCCTCCCCCCAGATGCTGTGGGGCAGACACCCCCAGGATTGCTGAAGTCAGTGCACAGCCCCCCTGCTGACAACTCTCCCAATATCTGGGGAAACAGATCAATCGCCAGATTTACTCTGGAAACTCTCCCAATATCCGGGGAAACAGATCAATCGCCAGATTTACTCTGGAAACCTAAAACCTTTTACAATCACTAATTTGCTCAGTCCCAACGCATCAGCAATCTACGTTCTGTCGCTGCTCTTTTGTGTGGTTGGAACGCGGGGTGGGGGGGGGGGCGGCTTAGAATAATGAGGAAACTTTCTTTGTTTGTCAGCGTTCTTCTATTTGAGCTCTGTCGAGCTACCCTTGGCAGTCACAACAACTCTGTATTGAAGTCCAGAGGAAGGCTGGCCTTTGGAATGATCCTAGGTTTGGTTCCTTCTTTTTCTAGGTATTTCATCTGGCCTTTGATGTGCTAAAGGGCTACACTGGAGCAGGCCTTATGGAAGCTGTCTATCCCCTTTAGTCTTTTCTGACCTTCTTTATTGTGGCCGGGGGAGGGGAACCTAAGAAAGGATAGAGGGGGGCAAATAATTAAAACCAAGCCATGCTCACATCTGCAGCCCAGAGCTGTACTTTCCCCTCAGGAATTCTGTTCACTTGCTCATCATTTACCACCACCCCCCCTTCCCAACACACAGGAGACTTGAGAGAATTAGCTTCTTACCTCAGAATTCTCAAAGTTTCTGGCACAAACTGTTTCTATCCTTGCCCTCACCCACCCCATCTTCTTAAATCATTTAAAAGTTCATGTGAGCTTAACAATCTCTAAATCAACCCACTCATCCTCCCCCCACCTCCCCAGATCTAAATTTACAGTTATCTGAAATGGCCCTCAGATCTTTTGTCAAAACTCTGCGATTTAATCAGCCCAGCCGGAGTGGCTCAGTGGTTGAGCGTTGAACCATTAACCAGGAGGTGATGGTTGGATTCTCTGTCAGGGCGCTTGCCCAGTTGTGGGCTTGATTCCCCGGTGGGGGACGTGCAGGAGGCAGCTGATCAATGATTCTCTCTCATCATTGATGTTCTATCTCTCTCTCCCTCTCCCTTCCTCTCTGAAATCAATAAAAATGTATTTTAAAAAGCTCTTCAATTTAATCAAAGAGAAACAACCTCAAACTCAAGGCTGTACTAAGGATCTAATTACCTTAAACACACACACACACACACACACACACACACACACACCTGTATGGCCAAGACATTTTTACAAACCAACAAACTTGTGAAAAATATTTTTGTTTGCAATCAATATGACAAAAATGTAGATCTCTTTTAAGAGCTCATTTTAATTTATAAGAAAATCCAGGAGATTCTAGTCAATAAATGGGCAAAAATAGAAATAAGTAGTTCACAGAGAGGGGATAACAATGGTGAATAAGCATATGAGAAATGTTTAGTCTTGCTAGCAGTGAAAAATGGAGATACCACTGTCATTGACAACTTTCCCATAGGTGAGATAAAAGAACAAGGATGATAAAAAATGCTAGCAAGAGAGTGATGATAATCTTGTCACACTATTGGGGGGAGTAAAAATTGGTATAACCTTTTGTTAGTCATAAAAGTATTTTCTATCCATTAATTCCACTTCTAGAAAGCTATTGTTTGATCCAGGAAGTCCACCTCAAGGAATCCACTCCAAGGAAATATTCAGAAATGCAAACAAAGATTTAGTTACCAAGATGCTCACTAGAGAATCATTTCTAATGTGGAAAAACTGGAAAGAACCTGAATGTTCAACTTTAAGAAATAGATAATTAATTGGCTTGAATTGTGACAAAACCATAAAATGGTGTATGATACAACCATCCAAATATTATTATGACATGGGAGAATTACTTTTTAATCTTAAAAGAGCAAAACAGGATACAAACTATGTACAGCAGGGGTCCTCAAACTACCGCCCACGGGCCACATGCAAATACGAATATTGTATTTGTTCCCATTTTGTTTTTTTACTTCAAAATAAGATATGTGCAGTGTGCATAGGAATTTGTTCATAGATTTTTTTTAAACTATAGTCCGGCCCTCCAACGGTCTGAGGGACAGTGAACTGGCCCCCTGTTTAAAAAGTTTGAGGACCGCTAATGTACAGTATAAACTCAGCTATGTAAAAATAATGCATAAAAGGAAGCCTGAAAGGAAACATGCTAAAATGCTAACTGTTGTGATTGTTAACTTCTTTATACTTTTCTATATTTTCCACAATGAACATATGTTACTGTTAACTTCAGGGGGGAATAGTTTATTATTTCTTTTCTGAAAAACTGTAGAATGGTAATACATGTTCATTATAACAAACTTAAACAATACGTATGTGTATAAAGTAAAGAATGAAACTCATCTCCCTCTCCCACTCCCCAAACAATCTTTAAATCTGGCTCACACATTAGCAGTTTGGTTTATATTCCTGCAGACATATCTCTCTCTCTCTCTCTCTCTCTCTCTCTCTCTCTCTCTCTCTCTCTCTCACACACACACACACACACACACACACATTTTTGTTCTACCAAATTGGGAAATTCTTAAAATAATAAACAATTCATCAGTTTTTATTCTAACAAAGAGAGGCACAAAGTAAAAAAGAAGAAGTAGAACAAGCCATTAGCTCCCACCCATATAACCCCTGTTGGAATTTTTCAAAGTCATACTCATTTATTCCTAAGGTGTAAAAGTCAAACTCTAGAAAGATACAAAATACAAATTAAAGCCCCTCTGCCCACCCTTGATTCTCGCTTCTCAAATGCAACCACTATTAAAAGTGGGAGATATGTCAGACAGAGAAAGACAAATACTATGTGATATCTCTTATGTGTGGAATCTAATAACATCAACAATAACAACTCAAAAGACCACAGAGTGGCCTGGCATGGCTCAGTAGTTGAGCATCCACCTATGAACCAAGAGGTCACAGTTCGACTGTCAGGGCACATGCCCAGGTTGCAGGCTTGATCCCCAATGTAGGGCATGAAGGAGGCAGCCAATCAATGATTCTCATCATTGATGTTTCTATTTCTCTCTCCATCTCCCTTCCCCTCTCTGAAGTAAATAAAATATTTTTTAAAAGAACAGGAAAAAAGGCCACAGAGTGGAATGGTGGTTACCAGGGGATAAGGGGTGGGAGAACTGGAAAGTTGTTGTTTAAAGGTTCCAAACTTGCCGAACCGGTTTGGCTCAGTGGATAGAGCATCAGCCTGTGGACTGAAGGGTCCTAGGTTCAATTCCAGTCAGGGGCATGTACCTTGGTTGTGGGCACATCCCCAGTGGGGGGCGTGCAGGAGGCAGCTGATCGACCTCTCTCATTGATGTTTCTAACTCTCTATCCCTCTCCCTTCTTCTCTGTAAAAAATCAATAAAATATATATTTAAAGGTTCCAAACTTGCAACTAGTAGGTAAATAAATCCTGGAGCTCTAATATACGGTACAGTGAATATAGACAATAAAACTATTATAAATATTAAATGTACTAAGAGATTAGATCTGAATTGCTTCCACCAGTAGAAGAAATAATTATGTGACACCGACAGAGGTGTTAGCTGACTACAATGTCAACCATATTGCAATATAAATTTGTCAAATCAATAGGTTGTACACCTTAAACTTGCACAATGTTACATGTCATTTAAAATTATATCTCAATTTTTTTTTAAAGCAGGGGAAATCTTTTTATAGCAGGCTGGGGAGATTTATAATTTTCATTTATCACAGTCCAGAGTCCATTCTGCTACAGTCTATAGTCCCTTGGAGGGGTAAGAGGAAAGGACATCCTGCTTCACACAGAAGGTAGGAAATGTTAGCAATTTAAAACCTCAAGAAGTGATTCAGCTTGAAAATATAAATGCTTTCAAAGCAGATTTGACATTAAATAAAGTGGGCTCTTAGGTAACACTGGGATGCCGAGATTGCTGAAGAAAAGCATCCCACCATTCTGCCTTATGTCACTATATTAGGTGGAAAGGTCTCTTCCAGAGTGGCAGTTCTCAAGTTCTCTGGAAGTGAGCAAGGTGACGAGTCCTTCAGAACATGAGAGTTGCATTTTACATGCTCGTTGGCTTCAAATCAATTTTCAAAGCCTACGTACTTGACCTGAGGACTACTTATTTCCCAAGATATATGTTAAGTCTTCTAATCTTTCTGAAGTTCTTGCCTTCTTTAAATTATATTCAGAGGTTTTTAAGGGCTTTTAAAGAGAAATAAGACAATTGGCTGATTAGCTAGAAAATGTGGGAAGTAATTAAACCTCAGCAGTAATCAAATAAATCCAAAGGAACATATTAACAACATACCATTTGTCATTATTCATATCAATGGAGCATTTTTTT